AGAAGAAAAACAAAAGGGGAAGAGAAGGAAATTATTTCATTGATGGAAGCCCAGATTTAGACACTTTAAAAATACCCGAGTTAGTGAAAGAAATGTATTTGAATTACAAAATAGCGTCGTTTTGTTCCAACACAATATGTCTTGTTTTTGTTTAGATAATACCACCAGGTGTCCCGAGCTACTGCATCTACATGTAAATTTGTATCTCTAAAAACATTGATAAAGAATTTTTCTACAACTTTCACTACTTTAACATGTGATTGGAAAAGGACTAACCGAAAAAAAATATATAAAAAGGAAAATATTTTCTCGGACTAAACAAGAGAGGGAGAGAAACATCCCGTTTTCTTCCAAGCGCCAGAATGACGTCATAGAACCCCGTTTTCTTTAAGGGGGAACTCCTGAAGTCATCGACGTAAACAGTGATGGAATTTAAGACTTTTTTTCGGCAACATTTACAAGACTGAAAACGAATCTGGAGACTTATTCATCGGTGGTGGTCTACGATTCACAAATACTTTGGTCTAACATGGTGTTCTATACATTGTTATCTTGATTTTAACCGCTGCTCGTACGTATCTATATGTATAAATGTATGTATGTATATGTATACGTATATACATATATATATATTCTTTTTTTCTTTCTTCGGAGTAGCATTATCGCATTGTGAGTATAACTGTAATAAGCTACAATATTGCAGAGTTGCCTTCCATTTGATGAACTAAGTGAACCACAACGCGCACGCGCATTGCAATCAATATAGAGAGTTTTTTGCTTCGGCTAATCATCTCTATCACGACAAGAAACAAATAAAAGGAAGATAAAGAAGACAAGAAGAAAGAAGACTACGAAGGAAATTAGAAAAGGTACAAGAAAGGAAACAATAAACTCGCAGGTTGTGAAGAAGAAATGAATATGAGAAGAAAGAGAAATGGAGAAAGAAAAAGTAAATAAACATGGTATGACGAATTGATAAGATGTCCGAGTGTTTCCCGTTTTCTGACGCACCCAGAGCTTCCCGTTCTCTCTTGACACATTCCACAAGCAATAACGTCCTGCCCTCTCTACCTCTCCTCTCGCTCTCCCTCTCTTCCTCGTCCTCGCCCTTTGCCTCTTCCACCTTCATCGTCGTCCATCACTCCGTACCTCATTCTCTTCCCTCCTCCTCCTCCAAATCCTCCTCCTCCATCACTTCCCTCTCTATCCCTTCTCCCTACCCTTCCTCTCTGCCTCTCCCTCCTCCCTCCCCTCTGCCTCTCCCTCCTCCCTCCCCTCTTCCTCTTTTCGCCTCTCCTCCTCCCCTTCCTCCTCCTCCTCCCCTTCCTCCTCCTCCTCCTCCTCCCCTTCCTCCCTTTAAATACTCGCTGGCTGGCCTTTTTTCGCCTGTGTGGACGCAACAGTACTGTACGAAGACCCCGTAACCTGAGCCTAGCACGGGGGGGCGCAGTTCCCCTCCCCTTCGCCTGCCCCTTCTCAGACCCCCTCCCCCCCCCTTCGCCTGCCTCTTCTCGGATCCCCCCTTCCCCCCCCTTCGCCTCCGCTCCTTCCGAGGCTCTCCTCCGTGACTGCTTCTCGCTCGCCTCTCTCTCTTCCTCGGGTTTAGGGACACTGTGCCCTGCCCCCTTCTCTACACGCACACATACATACATATATATATATATATATATATATATATATATATATATATATATATATATATATATATATATGTATGTATTTATGTATGTATGTATGTATATATATACATTTACATATAATATATATATAAATATATACACATACACATATATTTGTATGTATGTATATATATATATATATATATATATATATATATATATATATATATATATATATACATATACATATACATATATACACGCATTTACATAGAGCCACATATAGTATAGTTAAAAGCTATACACACACACACAATACACACACACACTTATTATATATATATATATATATATATATATATATATATATATATATATATGTATATATACAAACACCTAGCCACACGTAATATACTTAAAAGACACACACACACACACACACACAACACACACACACACACACACACACACACACACACACATATATATTATATATATATATATATATATATATATATATATATATATATATATATATATATATATATATATACATGTATATATATATATTGTTATTATTTGAAGTTTTTTACATAAATATTTATATACCAAATCACTAATTTATATATATATATATATATATATATATATATATATATAATATATTATATATATATATACATATATATATATATATATATATATATATATGCGGATGTGTGTGTGTGCGTGTGTGTTTGGATGTGTCTGTGTGTGTGTGTTCATATATGTACCGTGTATATGTGTGTGTGTATATGTGTATATATAACATATAAAAAGGTGTTTCCATGAGTAACAGTCATTAAATATATACATGAAAATATATTCAGACTTCATCTTTATTTCCTTTATTATCGGCTTTCTATGTACACTCGACGCATCTGTCGCTTTGACCATCTGTACAAGCCTATCCTCTACCATTCATAATTAATGTAACCCTCTGTAGTGCTTTACGATTGCACAGCATAGAAAATTGCACCATCTACACAACCGCACCATTTTACCATCTGCACAACCCTGCTAAATGCACCATTTGCACACCGTTCCCTGCTGCACAATCTGCACAACCCAGCACTATTTGCACAATATTCCTAGCTGCACCATCTGCACAACCCTATACTGTTCGCACACCATTCCCATCTGCACCATCTGCACTATTTACACACTGTTCCCATCTTCACCATCTGCACAATCCTAAACTGTTTGCACACCATTCCCTGCTGCGTCATCTGCACAACCCAGCACTATTTGCACAATATCCCTAGCTGCACCACCTGCACAATCCTAATGTATATGCACACCATTCCCATCTGCACAACCCTACACTATTTGCACACCATTCCCAGCTGCACAATCTGCACAACCCAGCACTATATGCACAATATTCCCAGCTGCACTAGATGCACAATCCTAAACTGCCTGCACATTCCCAACAGCACCATCTGCTTGACCCAGCACTATTTGCACATTATTTCCCACTGCACCATCTGCAGAATCCTTTACTGTTTGCACATTATTCCAAATTGCACCATCTGCACACCACTCCCAACTACACCACCTGCACAACCTTCCCATTTTACCATCTGCACAACTCTGCTGGTTGCACAACTTGCTTCTTGTCCCACCTGCACCGCACCATCTGCAACTCGTACCCTCTATAACACGTGCACCAGGTGGCAATCGTACCACCTGCACTATCA